GAAATGTCACCGCAGCAGGTACTGTCCCCAGCAGATAAGATGTCAAGGAATAGTACTAAGGTGCAAGGGGATTGTCAGTGTGAAGGTAGCAGAGTGTGGAAGGATGAGCAACGGCTCTCCGGTTCTGGAGTGGTATCTTGGGTGGAAAGTGGCATTGTAGTTCAGACAGGAAGGCAGAGGCAATTTTTTGAAAAAAAAGGTTAAATATTTTATAAAGTTTGAAAAGCACAGAGGAAGTATCAGAGATGGAAAGAGGAGAATGGAGGGAGAGATTTAGAGGATATTGGATGACAAAATTGGGCAATGAAGGAAGGAGCCTTCTGGGAATTTTGATTGTAGCGGAAAACAAATGCCTTGACACAATGTGTATGGAACGTGGCAGAGGTAAGGGAAGGAAGAGCTAAGTAAAGAAGGAAGACGGAATAAGGAAGAGTCGATAATTTGGGAGACATCTACCTCCCTTTAGATTAGAACCTGGGGAGAGGAACTTGGCTTGATAAGCTGAACATAAGAGATGTTAGCATATCTGACAGGGCTTGACTGGAGGAGACACCGGGGACAGGACTGTTACAGGTCCGTGATGTTCTTAACAAGCTCAATAACAGTATGTTTATAAAACGCTCAATCTGGGCCCAGCAGTTAAAGTTCTCGCCTTGAATGCGCCAGAATCCCATATGGGCGCCAGCTCTAATCCCAGCAGCTCCACTTCCCATCCAGCTCCCTGCTTGTGGCCAAGCAGTCGAGGATGGTCCAATGCGTTGGGACCCTGAACCCGTGTGGGAGACCTGGAGGAAGCTCCTGGCTCCTGGCTCCGGATTGGCATAACACCAGCCATTGCGGTCACTTGGGGAGTGATCTTTCTCTCTATCTCTCCTCCTCTCTGTATATCTGACTGTGTAATAAAAATAAATAAATCTTTTTTAAAAAAATAAAATGCTCAATCTGTCAGGAGCTTGCAACAGGAAATCCAGTGCTTTGTAACACTGATCCTTAGGTTTTCATGACAATGGGTTTTTAAGTTTAAGAATCCTGGAAAATTCAGCATTTCTTCTTTATAGTCTGGAATATAATATACACAATTTACACGAATTTTCCAACTTTTCCATCGATTATTTAACATTATCAATTGAATTTGGTATGAAAAAGCAGGAAATCATATCCCTTCTTCCTTCTAGTTCATTGCTCACTGCTGAGAACCATCCAACACTTGAAAAAAGAGCGTGGTTTCCAAAGGAATCTAATTCAAAATCAGGAAATTAAACAGGTTCTGATTAATTCTGATTCTTTGCAAAACTTATGTGATAGCACAGGTTTACCAAAATGTTAAAAAAATTCTTCCTTGGGTTTTAGTTGTGGTCCATGAGATTAATCCACTGCTTAGGATGTGAGCATACCATATCAGAGTTCCACTGTACTTTCTAGCTGCTCTGTTTCTGATCTGCTATACCACTAATGCACCTGGGTACACAGCACAGGATGGTTCAGGGAGCTGATACCCTGTCATCCATGTGGCAGACCTGGATGGAGTTTTGGGCTCTTGACTTGGCAACCATGTAGGGGCCTAGAGGATCTAAATCTCTTTTACGCTTTTTTTTTTTTCTCTCTGTATGCTCCCTGCTCTGTGGTTAGGCCTTTTAAAATAAATAAAATAATATTTAAAACCAACAGCTCAATTCTACTTCCTGAGTTGCTGGACTTGTGTTTTCTTGGATTGAGTGGAATGTAGATATGAAATAATTCATTTCCACTTCACACCCACATCAAAACACTATTTCTGTGATGTCTTTTGTCCACGGTAAAGGACTTTGAAAAATATCCCCACACTCTATTTTAATGCTTTACCTGAAAAAAATTAAGAAATTATGTGTTAACATTTTCCGTTTTACTTTTGAGAGAATATATTTTCAATTTGCATTATAGTTAATGTAATATGGTTCAACACTTCACTAAATAGATTTCAACATACAAAAAGCAAAAAGGCCATAGATCAGTAGGAACAAAAAATATATATAGTGTTTGTCAAATTATGTTTAGAGTCTTCTTTGATCAAATTTTCAGGAGTTACTATAGTTTTCATGATCTCTGACTGTTTTCACTGTATATTGGTCAGCTTGCCATCTTTTCATCTGATTGTTGCTTATGCTTTTTTTTTTAATTCTTAATTTTTATTGGAAAGGGAGATGGGCAGAGAGAAGGTGAGACAGAAACACCTGGCTGCAATGGCTGGAGCTGAGTCCATTCAAATCTAGGAGCCAGGATCTTCTTCTGGGTCGCCCATGTGAGTATAGGGTACTAAGGCGTTGGGCCATCCTCTACTGCTTTCCCAGGCCACAAGCAAGTTGCTGGATGGGAAATGAAGCCTCTGGGACACAAAACAATGTCCATATGGGAACCCGGTGCGTGCAAGGTGAGGATTTTAGCACTGAGCCATTGCATCAAGTCCTGTTATGGTTCTTGCTTGATTTAACAATTTAAGAGTCTGCGTGTGTGTACTATTTGTATTTGTATTCTTACACTACACCCTTTGTCTAAGAAACATATATAGATGGTTGTTGACTATATCACAAAGCATCATGATCTTCAGAAAATACTTTATAACCAAAATCTAATTTATGTAGTTTGTGAACTCTGAACTTAAGTTGACTTGAATTAGTGTTGCTAGAATATCTGGGACTTCTCCGGGTGTTGGTCACATCAGTTTAAAAAGTCACCCAACTTTGGGCCCGGCGCGGTGGCGCAAGCGGTTAAGGTCCTCGCCTTGCACGCCCGGGATCCCATATGGGCGCCGGTTCTAATCCCGGCAGCCCTGCTTCCCTTCCAGCTCCCTGCCTGTGGCCCGGGAAAGCAGTCGAGGACGGCCCAAAGCTTTGGGACCCTGCACCCGTGTGGGAGACCCAGAAGAGGCTCCTGGCTTCGGATCGGCATAGCATTGACCCGTTGCGCTCACTTGGGGAGTGAATCATCGGACGGAAGATCTTCCTCTCTGTCTCTCCTCTCTGTATATCTGCCTTTCCAATGAAAAAATAATAAAAATAAATCTTTAAAAAAAAAAATCACCCAACTTTGTTCCATTGCATGTTCTACCTACAGTAGGTTAGTTTAGGTATGTTCTCATGGCATAGTGGACACATAAGAGGGAAAAAGCCAATTTTGCAAGCATCCTTTAAATCTCTTTTTGTGTCAGTATCCTATTATTCTTGAGGAAATCACAGAAGACCACCCATAGCTGAACAGAAAGGACATGGACACAGAGAGAGGAAAAGGATAACTGATGGAAAAACTAAGCCAATTAATCATGAATTACATAAAGAATACTAAACCAAGGGTCAGACGGCATTGCTGTGGCTTCAAGTTGTTCGTTTTGTTAATTTAGGTGAATTACTTAATCATACTACGCTCTAATTTCCTTACTTAGCCTTCGTAAGTTTTAAAACCCTGTGATTTCTATAAAACCAGACTTCTAATTGATTTAAAGTAGGAAGAATTTTAAAGTTATTTGTTATCATTTTTAAAGAAGATTTATTTATTTTTATTGGAAAGTCAGCTATGCAGAGAGGAGAGACCGAGAGAAAGATTTTCCATCCATTGATTCACTCCCCAAGCGTCTGCAACAGCTGGGGCTGCACCGATCCGAAGCCAGGAGCTTCCTGGTCTCCCATGCAGGTGCAGAGTCCCAAGGCTTTGGGCCATACTCAACTGCTTTCCCAGACCACAAGCAGGGAACTGGATAGGAAATGGGGTCGTCGGGATATGAACCGGTGGCCATATGTGATCCTGGAGAGTGCAAGCTGAGGACCTTAGCCGCTAGGCTATTGTGCTGGGCCCTATTATCCTATCTTCTAGTGATTCAAAATAATTTGTGTGGGGGCTGGCATTGTGGTTAAAGAGGCAAAGCCACTGCTTGTGACTTTGCCAGTCTATATGGATACTGGTGATCTATCTGGTCATTTTCATTTCAGCTCGCTGCTAATGGCCTGGGAAAAGCACTGCAAAATGACTCAGAACCTTGGGTCCCTGTCATCTTCATGAAAAACTCACGACACTCCTGACTCCAAACTTTTGTCTGGCCCAGGCCTCACTGTTGTAGCCATCTGGGGAGTGAATCAGCAGATGAAAAAATTCTCTCTCTCTCTCTGTCTCTCTGTATCTCTCTGTTTTCCCCTCCTTTGTATAACTTTTGTGTTTCAAATAACATAATGTTGACATGTAAAAAAAAATGACTAGTGTGGATGGCCAAAATCCGTGAGACAATTTTGAGTTGGCCCATTAATTTGAAGTTTTCTTGACTACATCTAAGATAAAACAATTCTATTCTGAATTTTTGCTTGAAGCAAAGGGCTAAATTTTATTTTCCTTTTTAGGTGTTTACTTTTTCTTCCCCTCTAGTGATTCTGTTGAAGGACATAATGTAGTAAAGCATCAAAAACTGTGGCATATCTTAAATGTGAGACAAATTACAGGAGTTGTTGATGCTGAGCCTTAATAATTCATTATTATGATGAATCATTATTGCGAAATTGACTAGAGGAGCTTTATTAAGTTTTCATCATGCTGGTAAAAAATCAATTATTTTCAGAGTAGTTGTTATTGGCTTGTTTATGTAGGCAATATGTATCACACAGAACTGAAACCTGCTCTTTATTAAGCAATATAGAATTATGCAGTAATTAGAAAAGTGCAAGACTGTTTAACACTGAAAATCAATATTTTTAAGCCTCACAAGAAAAACATAATGCACAAAAATGATCTTTGTAGATGACTTTCTGTATCTAGAACTTCTTATTCTGGTCATTTCCTTGTCCCCCATACTTAGACTTTCAAACTATATTGAGAAATAAATCTTTTGTCATTTGTTTTGACTTCTAGAATGTTCTATTTCAGAAATACAGAAATGATTTGCTGCATGGTAAATGCTTATCCTTGTCATAACTCTGGGAAATATTTATTCTGGATTGATAATTTCTTTTTAAAGTCGATCATTTTGGTCTGTGTCATTTCAGAGTCACTGTAGAGAGATACCCAGGAAACTTCACTCAAATCAAGGTGACCTGTATTCAAAAACACCCGCTGGTTGTCAGGATGACTTGGACGATGTGCAGAGAGAGAAGAAGAAGCAAAGTGTAACCCAGTGGTAGGCATCATTATAACTGCAGTTCATATAATCCACAAGACAGTGTTTCTAACAACTTGCACAAAAAAGGCACAGTATTTGGATTCTTACTACCATTTTATTTGGAATGTATGAGTTGTCTAAGTGTCCAGTGGAACTGAAAACCTAAGTGGTATCAAGTGCTAGGTGAAGTCTGATACTAAATACTCATTCCAGAAATAATACTGCTCACTGTTTTCCATTATTGGATTTTTCTTCCTGCTATGGTTTTGATGGAAGTATTGTAAGACTGCTTGTATTGTCATAATAATATTTTTCTATTTTCCTTAGACCAATGAGCAAAAAGGATTAATGGCTTAAGAAGAGGTTAAAATGCCTGCAATGATTTTAATTTAAAGATGTGTCAGCCAAGTAACCAAATATAGTTTTGAATTATGAAGGGTTAGCTTACAGATATAGCGATCTGATATATTTTATCTCTACCAAGCACAAAACAAGAACAAGAAGAAGCGGATTTGTGGAGGAATTGACAGCAAAAATTGAGCTACTTAGGCTAACTTCCTTAGCATAGAAATCTTAGATGAGTTAACCAGGAAATATGAATTTTCTTTCTTGGTGATATTTTTGATACATGAAATCAACCCAGTTTCTATTACATTTTATCTTTGAAACTTCACATTTCGTTTGTAGGGAAATTGAAACTGTAATTATTCTTAAGCATATGGTCTGTTCCGTTTCCTTCCTTATTTGGTTTGTTACTAGCACACATTTTTTTTTCTCCAAGGACATGTAAAAGTCAACATACTAGATATAAAGTCTCTGAAGTGTTTCTGCTTCAAGCCAGGTCTGCACAATCTGGGTTCTTTCAAGTAGTTAGCTTACCAGCTTCTGACACTCCTACAAAAATACCCCATAGAGCTTTTCTTATTACCTTTTCATTGACTTTCTTCAAGTAATAAAAAATGAAATTCTGGAAAGGTCTTTGAAAACTGTGCATATTGCAATTCTTCCACATTTCAAATACTAAGCAAGTAGGACTATAGAAGGGACAATCTCTGCCATGAAAATGGCTGCAGTGTGTTGAGTCTCATGCCGTTATTAATTCATTGGGAAACTTATTTTTTCTTTAAGATTGTAGATCCTAAACAGTGCCAGATAAGACAATTCTTGAGATCAAAGTTCTTGTTTCAACTACAGGGGAACTTGCGATCTTGTCTTTGCTGTGTGGGCATCTTTTTGGTTGGTACTGCAGTGACTCTAGCTTTGCACCTTGAGTGAATATGCAGAGTGTATGAGAGACCAAGGCAGCACCTGCTTTCAATGGATTGCCTGTGAAAAGGACTAGTATTAATGACAATGACGATCTGAAATGAAAATAGCAGTTCCAGGCAAGTAAGATTCCTAACTTCATTTAAGAGAGCAAAATGTTCTCTCCTTTTTAAGACAAATTTCAATAGACGTTTACTAAGATTTTATGTAATATTTCAAATCTTTGCTCTCGGCATTTTAAATGTAATAAATTATAGATTTTTCTTTGTTATTAATCCTGTAAGTGTAGTACAAATCCATACATAAGCACAAGAAAGTAGAGAAGACAAGCAATACAATTTTCAAATTTAATTTTGTCTTGTGTAATATAGTATATTTCTTGCACTGGATAAAGAATCATTTGACTCATGTTTAACACTGAACATGCTTGGTGTGGATAGCTCATCTCTGTATACCCATTGGCCTCTTTTGACTTCAGGATGGGAAAATGAGCAGTTTTCTGAGCTTTCCCTTCTTGTCAGTGCTTAGCCATATGGTCAATCATTTTTTACATTTCCTTTTGGCGGAGGTTGCAGTGGCATAACCTTTGTAGTATATCATAGACTGAGGAAGGGAAAAGTAATAGGTTAAGTTCGGAGCCTACTATATTATTTCAGCTAAAGTGGAAGCTTTCAAATATGGACCTAAAGATTATATTAAAACAATGTCTTTATTTTTGTATTCACTGTATACAACTCAAGAATTTGCTATGAATGAACATGAGTCCTGTAGCAAGAATTGACTCAATTGCATCCAGGAGTGTAACAAACAACATAAATCAGAACAGATGCTGTGGGTCTCCACACGCTCCTCAATAGGAAGTTGATGAAAACATTTGTTCAGAAGTTTGAGATGGCCTTTCTCTGCAGGTCTTTGATTCACTCTGGTTGCTTGGTGATACTGATGTCTTATTTTAGGAATGTTGTTATTAATACTACACACTGTTTTGACCATAGATATCTAAGGCAGCAGTTCTTTGAAAATAAATTTGTAACTGGCAGTATGGTAAAGTTCAGACCTTTGGATTCTGAGCTGAGAGTTCTGGGTTATTCTGAGCTATTTTCAAATTATATATGTGTTAAATGGAAACATTTGCTTTAAGTTATTTATGTACCATTCCTTGGCTTGTTTTATATTGGTACTATTGACCACAGGTTAAAAAAAAAAAAGAATGCACTGTTGAGAACAACATCTGACGCAGGGTGGATGAGGTCTGAACCAAAGGAGAACCTGAGTTACAATAGCAACAAAGGCGTTCAGCATAGGCATCCCACAGGGACCTCTAGACCTTGCAATGTTCATTTCGAGTTATCCTGTATTGGAGGGTGAGCAAAGAGTCTTTATAATCTTTGTGTCTGTCAATCATTGGATGCAGGTGTCCCAACAGTTACAGGCAAAGCTCTTCCTTCAGTCAAGGGCAAAGTTATTCAGTGAAAGGGCATTATTACTTAGTTGTGTGCAGGATCTCATTATTATGTGCGTCGCTCATTAATGGTGGCAGTTGCCGCCCAGCTAAAAAGGGAGCTGTTTTCCTTTTTCTTTCTTGTGTGACCTTCCAGAAACTGAAGTGTTTCCTGGAAAAGGTAACCTTTCAAATAAGTTTATTTGTTTCTGCCTGACACAAATATTCTTTATTAAGGAAATTTTATATTCTCCTAATCTATGTACTCTTCTGCAGTTTGCTTTCTTTTTGAATCTCAACAGTGTTCTTTCAATTATTCCTACATCTTTATACTAAATCTTCACCACTGTTGTCCTCATACATTAGTCTACTCAGTGAAAGGAACGCTGGACTAGAAAATGAAGCAAATGTGCTCTGGACTTTAGAACAGCCTAGGCATGTAGCCTTTCACAAACCATTGCATTTCTCTGATTTTGACTTTCTTCACCAAGATGGAAGGACACCAGTTACTCCTTATGCCCTATCAATTCGGAACGCCTGTGATTCATGGCATATTCTCATTAAAGCCTCAAGATTGTTGAACTCAAATCAGCTCATCTGTAAGTAAAACTCACAGATGATGCACTACATGTGTGTTCCTGCTTTGTTTTGGTAAATGAGAGTAAACAAACTTTATGAAAGCCCTTCACTGAGGCTAAGCAGAAGCCAGAAGAGAAAAATGAAGAATGGAGCTGTAGATAAAGAAATTTAACTTTGCTTAATCAATAAGTTAAATCTGTAATGGATATTATATTTGTATCATAGGAAATGAAACCCATCAGTTCTGTATCTGTACTATATTTAGGATTAGACATGGTGAGGATTCTGTAGTAAAGATTTTGAATCATAGCATGTTATCAAGAGGTTGGTACTTTACATGTCATCATAAATGCATTTTTGTCCATTTTAATAAAGTGATAACTTAATAATTCAGTGTTCTCAGTGATACTCTAAATTCAATCATTACTTATCTCCAAAGACTAGTTAACCTGTTATTTAAAAATTTTAATTGGAGTGGGACAGTGTTGGGGAGCCTTTGTTTTTTACCTAACAAAGGGCCATCTGGATACTTACAATAATCAGGTTAGCTTTCTGTAAAAATGTTCAGTCCCTCCATTGGTTCCTTTGGTGATACCAGATTAACTGATAAGGGCCAGTGGCTGGGAAGTTCCCAATCCTTGAGCTTGGACAAGGTAAGTTGCTCCTTGCAACACCAGCAGCCAATACTGGAGTGCTATTCTGATTCTGATCCAGGTCCCTGGCAAAGCGTCTGGCCAGGCAGCACACAATGATGCGAGCATTTGTGTCCCTGCTACTCATATTTATCCAGATGGAGTTTGTGGCTCCTGGCTTTGGGCCTGTCCGAGCTGTAACTATTACAAAAAGTATTAGTAAACTCAGAAAAGAACCAACAGGAAGAAGAGCTCTCTTTCTCTGTCACTGTCTTTCAAATCAATCAATACATCTTAAGCAAAATGCTCACATTAGATTGGGATTGCAGGATTGGGTACCAACTCCAAGCCCTGATGCAAACTTTCTGCTAATGCAGCCCCTTGGGAGGCAGCATAGATGGCTCAAGTAATTGGGTTCTTGCCACTTACATTGCCAAGTAATGAGAGTATTCTCTGTCTGTTACTGCACACACACACACACACACACACACACACACACACACACACACACACACACACTTTAAACTGGTAATCAAACTATGATATTTCTTTCCTATTTCTATTTAATATCAATGAAGATTGCTTATAATCTAAAAATCGTAGTGGTAGAATTTCCCTGAAGTTCTAGGGAATGCTGTTCTAGCTTTTTAATACTGACATCCTAAAAAAATGCTATAAGATCGCTCCTGATTTTATAAAAAAACTCACAATGTTTCACCTTTTTTTTTTCAGAAGGCCTAAAGTTTCAGAATGCACTGGAAAGAAAATCCAGTCATTGCATTCTTTGAGCAGTTCTGAAATATCATTTCCTATTAGGCAGTTGTGTGAGTACTGACAATCTTTTTCCTCTTCTTCCCTGGAGATCAATTTATTTCCTGCAGCGCTTGCTCTTTATGGAAAATCTCACTCGCCATCCTTCACCAATGGGAGATCTCATCAGCAGTATGTTAATTATAAAAGCAAAGCCACATAGTGTGTTGAAGGGGGAAATAGTTTTATAAGTAAAGCTCCCTGTTTTATTGTCTTATTTTCACTCCAGATTTTTTTGTGCTTGGACACGATCACGAAGACAATATCCTGTAAGTTGATGTGATGGAATTGAAAGAATAGGTACTTTGCAACCAGCCAATTCCAAGCAAGAGATCTAACTAAAAGATTGTCACTTTTCTGATATTATTTTCATATATTTAAAATTAGAATAAAGTACCAATCTCTACTTTACATGAAATTTTTATGCATAAATAAGTGATATAGTATGAATGATAAAAATACACATTTTGGAAACTGCTGTTCAAATCATGGTTAGAAAAACAGCCCCTATTGGTCATTTTTTTTTAACAACCCAAAAGCTGAAAATATTATTTTAAAGCAGTTTTTAAATGGTTGGGAATAATAAAAAGCAAACTATGGTATGACAAGTGAAAATTGAATAGAATTCAATTTTCAAGATTTATAAATAAATTTTTATTGGAATACAGCCACATTTCATTTGCATATGGTCCATGACTGTTTTATGCTATATCCCTTGAGTTTTTTTTTTTTTTTGAAAGATACTTGTAGTCTGGCTCTTTGGGAAAAAAAAAAATGCTGGTTTCTTCTGTGGATAGTGGTTCAGAAGTTCTCAAGTCAAGTTAAAAATCTGATTCAACACATTTCTCGGGCGATTCTGTTTTAGGAGATCCACGAACCACACTTTCAAATAATGCAACAGAAGACCTGTGGATACCCTTGGCCTGCTTACTCATCACGCCCATCCTATTAACAAATCATGTTGGCTTTGTCTCTCATAACTGCTATTGCTATTTTCTCCCATGTTCATTTCTATCCTCTTAGTCTGAGTCATCTACTGCTGTCGATATTTGTTTCTCACCAAAATTCTTGTAATGAATCTAACCAATCTTTTCTCTTGTCCCAAAATGTTCATTCTTAACAGAACTGTGCTCTAAGTGAAATAATCTCTCCCTACACAGCCACAGGACTTTCAGCTTTTTTAAAGTGTGATCTTTTAGGTCTTTCTTTAAGTACTCAATTTGCTATGACTTTTTCCACAAACACATTATTGGAAATGATAACCCTCCTTTGGGGACACTCTTGTCTCTTTGATCTTACACATTATACACTTTTCCTGTGATATTTGATTATTGATCACCTGCCAAATATAAGGGTACCCTAAGGTCAAGACTCATTCGTTATCAGTTTACGTTATAATTGAATTGTAGAAGAGTGGCTGGTTTCAAATATATCTTAATATTTTTTTTAGATAAAAATGTGATCCAGAACTCCTAGCCTGCTTACCTGCCAAACATTTTCTGTATGCAAAAGTTATTGTCAGAGCTTGAACTAATCTCTGAAAAAAATATCAAATATCCACTTAAGCAGTGCAAATAAGAGAGAAAACAGCTATTTGCATCATTTGTTCAATCAATCTTAGTCAATGAATTCATCACAGAAAGTAGATCAGGAAAGCATATATAACAACTGGCATGAAAAATCTGATTAAAAATGTACAGAGGAGGGCCCAGTGCAGTAGACTAGTGGCTGAAGTCCTCACCTTGAACATGCTGGGATCCCATGTCGGCACTGGTTCTAATCCTGGCAGCCCAACTTCCCATCCAGCTCCTTGCTTGTGGCCTGGGAAAGCAACAGAGAAGTGTCCAAAGCCTTGGGACCCCACATCCACGTGGGAGACCCAGAAGAAGCTCCTGGCTCCTGGCTTTGGATTGACTCAGCCCCAGCTGTTGCTGCCGCTTGGGGAGTGTGGATTGTTGCTGATGTTATGTTGGGGCTTTTGATTGGTTGGGATGACACTCTGCCGGCTCTACCTTCGGACCAGGGATGGTCTCCACAAGAAGCGGTTGAACTTATCTGGACAATAAGATATTAGACTCTGCTTGGTATATGGTTGCAATGAAAGAACCCCAACTCAACTTGAACTGTGGTAATGCAGCAAGGTGGGTGGGGGGAGGTAATGCACCATGGGGGGAGGGGACAGGAGGGGTGGGGAAATCCCAGTGCCTACAACTGTCACATAATGCAATGTAATTAAAAAAAAAAAATAAAATAAACACAGGATGACTCCACCACTGCCACCTGGTGGCCACATGCCCAAACGCAAGGACAGGATTCCGTAGGACTTTGGTTTAGTGAAGACACAGACATATTTGCACAGTGAAGAAGTTATTATAAACTTTTTTGAAAGACTATTCAAGATGCCAGAAGGCAAATTCAAATCCTAAAATTTTAAGCATCAGAGAGGACATGAAGAGGTGGGAAAAAGAACATACAATAAAGCATCAGACAAAAAAAATAGCTAGATTCCATGTGAAATATTCTGCTTGACCAAAGTGGGACACTAGGACACCAGAGTACTGATATCATTCAGAAGATTCCCAATTTGGGCAGTTTGAGTGAGTTCAAAGCAAGGTGACTTGGGCGGTCCCTTCTTTTTCTTCATTTTATTTTTTTGTTTGTTTCAAATTTATTTATTTCCATCTTCTCTGTTTTTTTACTTAATTTTCTTATTTTATTTTTGATGCTGTTCACAGAGTTGACCAGGGTGGGAAGGGTTAAGGAGTAGGGGAAAGTGGGTGAGACCTCTGTTTTCAAAGGCCATCCAGGGTCATCCCAGGGTCACCAATGTGGAACATGATCCAAGGGCTCTGCTCAAGTGATTTGTATAGTTCTGAAATGCTGTTGATCTTGCTGATCCAAGAGTGAGGAAATCCTTCCAAATTTCACTGGCTGATATAGTCCACTTTAGTCTCCATTTGCCCAGCTGTTGGCTGCCAACCTTTGGCTGTGATAGTTGATCAGTTTGTTCTGTCCTTCTTCCTCTACACTGGTATTAGATGTCCTCTGCAGACCCCAACGGGCTACCAAATCCTCCATGTGCCTCTGGGAATGCCATGCACTGCTCCATCTCACCCACGGAAGAGGCCCAGTTCTGATCCTGCAGTTCTCCCCGTGGTTGGTGCTCTGAGTCCAGTGGTTCAGTTAGGGGATCCCCAAAGAAGCATCCTCTGAGGTGATCCCAGACCTGACTCATGTACATGCTTTCCAGGATGGGATCAGGCTCAGACCACTCCCCACTTCAGCCTATGCACACACTGATCTTTGCAATTGCTAGGTTGGTTCTGTCTCCAGCGCCACCTCTTATGTAAACCAATGGATACTTCAGCCCAGCCCAACACCACCCAACACACACTTGGACCTTATGTACACCAGTGGGAACTGCAGCCTAATCGAGCAACCCCCAGTAACTTCCACTTGCACCCCCCTCCCCACACACACACCCAGCTCTGCTTTCTGTGCTTGTTGGTAAGTTTAGCAAACTGGTCCAGTCTATTCCATATCCCATTCAGTTCTCGTATACATGAATGAAAGTTGAAGACTAAATTAGCCCAACCAACCAGACTCTCCAGTCCACACTTAAGCTGGCAGATGCCACTACTGCCAGTCTAGCCAGGCCTACCCCCTGCTCTGGTACTCATGCTCACCAGTGGGAGTTTCAGCCCTTCAGAGAGGTGCCCCACTGTTTTCCTACTGATCTGCTCCCAGTGGCAGATCTTGCACTCTATGGTTGGTTCTGCAGTTGAACTTGAAAGGATCTGCCCTCAGTTCCAGCACTTGCCAGCTGATGCTGTGGCAAAACCCAACCAGCCTGCACTTACTATGGCTCATGGATGCACCAGTAGAAACAGTCCTTTAGCCCAGCCTGGCTTTCCCCCTACCCTCTTACATGTAGTCCAATAGGTGATTTAGCCCTGCCAGGCCTGGTATGCCTCCGTTTCAGCTCTCACACTTACTGGTGGGGGCAGTGGCCCAGTAGGGGATTTCCCACAGTCCCCATACCAGGTTACTCCCAACCTCGTCCTCCTCCCGCGTTCCCCCCTATAGGTCTCACATTGACTGGTGGGTGCGGCAGCCCTGTCTGGCATTACCTGTCTCACCTCAGCTGGTGCTATATTCTGGCCTGACTCAGTCTGCCCCCAGTTCCAACTCATGCTGGTGGGTGCTGCAGCCTAGTCCAGCTTAGCCAGCCCCCAGTTCTTGCCCTAACATGAGCTGGTTTGTGTTGTGGCCTGACCAGGCCTGTCCTTCACTCTGTCCTGGTTCTCACATCTGCCAGTGGGTGTTATGAACTGGTCCAGCCTCGCCCACCCCCAGATCTGACCCTCACACGTATGCCGGCTGGTAATGTAACCTAACCTGGGCTGGGCTGCTCCCAGCCTTGGTTCTGGCATTTACCTGTAGGGACTCTGTCTTGACAAAGGAGTTTCCTAAGCTCCACTATCAGGTC